CAGATTCTTTTTGTTTCATATGCCCATGTAAGTTCATACACTGCAGATAAACACTCCTTAACTTACATTAGCATGACACAAGTGTTTGCCTAATGAGTGACAAAACTATAAATTCAACAGATCCACCCCATATTAAAAAAATAAATAAAAGGCACCTGATTCATATCAGATGAGTACTGGAATTTTCAACTAAATCAGAATTGACTGAGCCATGACTGAATCACAGCACTGAAATGTACCACCTGTATGCAGCACCCGCCATGCTTTACATCTACAAATTAGCCCTCCATCATCCTGGTGAACTATAATCACATAAAACACAGGAGTGCTAAATTGCCCGAGCTTTGCCAACCAAGGTAAAGCTATAGAGCACTTTGGTGACAGTGACAGATAGAAAACAAAGCCAAGAACACTGATTTCTGAATTATTTCCCTTGTCTCTAGACAATACCTGTATGTAATAGAGATCAGCTAAAAGAATGGTGGTGGAGCAGATCTGAGGTTAGATATGCTCAACCATTTGCTATTGCCAGGCTGCTGTCTTTGCAGTAGCTGCTGAAAAATGGATTGGTTTAAAGCTAAAGAAGAAAAAAAAACAACAACAAAAAACAAAAAACAAAAAACCTATAACCATATCCTGCAACCTGATTATCTTATCAGCTCTTCTGCGACAACTAAAAATAAGCTTTTACTTTCCTTAAAATACTGAACTGTATAGAGAATAAGGTTTACTTAAAATACAATCAAAATTCAAAATAAATCTTACTTTATCTTCATTTCAGTTAACAAACTACATTTATCAGCTTAACAATTGAGTGTTTTCTGATTTCTTTTCTGTATTATTTGTATTTGACCAGTGTTTTTTACACTGCTGCCTTGTATTCAGTTTTTCTATTATGAATAAGCGTTCAACAATTTAAATTATAACTGATGGAGTCACAGGACAATTTTTCTCTCAGTCATGTTAGCTCCTTGTACTATTTTTCTTTCAGCTAATTCTAATTTTAATTAGTTGCGGCAGCAATTGATTGTACTGATGTACTACTATTCAATTAATTCCACAGTGGTGGCTGGGGTTATTTGCTGAGTGACAGCCAAATACTGCAGTACAGAGTATTTTACAATAATTACCTACCAGTTCTACTGGAAACAGTGGTATATCATCTCGTACAGCCAGATGATGACTTTAAAGTCACATCTAGTTACATTCACCTTGAGTGTTCCCCTGTGTAACGAACCCTGCTCAAAAACAGCCTTGATAAAAGATGTGGCAGGAGGTACATTTTTATTATTTTGTCTTCTTCCCATCTTTTAAAAATACGTTTCTTATCAGAAAACAAGAATGACCTCATTTGTTAAGCATGGAGAACATAAATTTTGTAAGATGAAGAAAGAATTTTAAGAACATACTGAAGTTTCCCATCAGAAGCAGATGCCATCTTGGTTCATCCATTACGTTTTAGCTCCTTCTGTTGCAGATCATGTATATGCAGGGAAAATCATGCTTTCCACAATCACTTTACACCGATCATCTTTTTGCCTTAATTCTAGATTGAAATGTCAAATACAGACTGCAGCTTCATGTTTTCTGAACCAGACAAAGCAGACATGGTGATGACCTGTGTAGGCTGTAGGTGATGTTTGATCTGTGTAGGCCGTAGATCTTGTGTAGATGACAGACTAGAATCTCATGTACCGACTGGTACCAATCTGCATTACACGTTCAAAAACAAAATGCTGCATGAAGCTAAACTTCACGCCAGCATGTAAGAGCAGAAAACCCCTTTTAGTTTCTCACCTGATTCAGAATTGCCAGCTGAAGCATTCAAAAGTTCAGCCAGGACACAAACCACAAAACTAATAAGTCCTGATTTAAAAGCACATTGATTTTTCTTTTAATGACAGGTTTCTAAGTTGATAGGAATCAGACTTTCAGGTTTCCCCTGGCAGCCATGGAAAGTGAAAAATTTTTCTGAAAGTAGAGCTTCTTGCATAACCTTATCCTTCCTGGTGCTCTAGGAGATACCAGGTGTTCTGTATGTTGATGGCAGTACTATGGCAACTGGTCATACATTTTTCAAAGGCAGTGGCTATGATTAGCCATCATTGTTTATAAAATAATTGAGAAGGCTGATAAGGACCTATTTTGCTTCCTTCTCTGCAGTCAAAGAGAGCACTGTGAACTTGTGAGACTCTGATACTTGCTAAAGTTCCAGTGGTGAAGTCACCCCTTGCACCTGGAGTTGGTCCTTCAAGGCTGTGGCCAGTGGTTCCTGAGGAAGCTGCCGTGAGAGCTCAGCAAAGGCCCACCAAGATAAGCCTCACCCTTCATCAGGAAGGATAAACACCCATGTGCACTGAGAGGTGAAAGCTCCTTGCAAAGAAACAAACAGCTGTGCAATCTGTAAGACAGTCATGCAGCCCGCTCTGAGTAAGGTGTAACCTGCTCTGTTTCACTTCTGTTGCCTCTCCCCATGTGCTTTTCCCCTTGAGGAAGGGACTATCAGCTTACAGCACTGAGCAAAGTCCAGCATAGGTAATTTAACTGCCAACATCACCCACTTTGGCAGCACACTCCATGCCCTGCGCGGCTCTCTCAGATCTCACACCACCCTGCCACACGTCGGGGTTGCACTCCTACCTGGAGAAGTGGCTGGGAGATGCAGTGACCACGTCTTCACAGCCTGCTCAGCAGCCAGCCCCGATAGGATTTGGTATTTAAATGCAAAGCAGAGATTACGCTGCAGAGTCAAACCATTTAGCAGCAGCAGCAATATTTTGAATTTCAGAACTATATGAAAGATCAGTTTTAACCTTTGAATAGAGTTCAAAATACATCCCTCAGCGCACTTCCACTTTTAAATAAACAGGAGAATCAAGGGCTCTGACATTTCCAAAGCCCGCAACACTGGATTGTTTTCCTTGCAGAAATACACTGATTCTTAGCAACTGTCTACAAAAGATAACAATAGAATTTGTCAAATAAAATACGATCTGGTGATAGATTTAGCTGCAGTTTTACAGCACCTTTGGGTAGTTTTGGCCCATTCAATAGAAGAATTTGGATGTATTTTCAGCTCTGAGGACACGTTCTTCCCCTCAATGATTTTTTGTAAATGTCATTGAAGATGCAGCAGTCATGTAGCAAGTGAGAAAAGCAGCTGTGTTACTGTCAGGCTGAATCAGAATCATTGTGCATATATACTTAAGTGACTCAGCAGTAACTAATTGAGTATTTGGGATCCATCCCCCTTTGGTAGCATTCGTGTAATTTCCCTTTATGTGCAGGGGAGCCAAAGCATATGATTTAAGCAGAGAGTATGTAGCAACAGAAACCCTTTTTTAAGTAGGTGATTATTTATTTCTTTATTTATTTACTTGTGAGAGAGAGAGAGAGAGAAAATACAGTGACTTTCAGTAAATTTACTTGATTGTGAGCTGGGAACTTTTCTGAAAGATGTTATAAAAATGAACCTTTTCTTAAGATTAGAAGTAGAAGCCACTTTGTTTTTTCCTGGAATACCTCATGTGCTTTTACATCTCTACCTCTTAGTGACATCATATTACAACATCACTTGTATATATGGAGTTTATTAAGTCAGATTCCTTTAAAAGAATTGGGAAGGAGGAGTAGTAATTTTTAAAAAGTGTATATTTACATTTAGATATATTTTCTCTGCAGTGAACTAACACAGAGAGGCAAAATGCCTTTGCTGTCCATGTCTGAACTGAACAACACTGTTTTCCAGATTTTAACACAACATTTCTCCTTCTGATATCCTCACACTGGTCTTCAGGAGCATGTAGCAACTCAGAGTCCAGAATGAACAGCCAATTAGAAAAACTGAAGTGTCTGGGTAAAGAGTGAGCTGCTTGCACAGAACATGGAGGAAGCCTCGTCTCAGAGACGGCAATCACGTCCTTGCCACTCTGAGATGTAAATTTATTAGCGTGTGTTAGATCTGTAAGATTGGTGTCTGTGGTTGAGATTACAGCCAAGTTCTGGTCAGGGGGAACATAGCACTCTGCCGAGCAGCATAGGTAGCATGACATAGCGAATGGAAAATGGGGGATGTAAAAAGGAAAGATAAAGAAAGGAATAAAAACAAAATGGGGAAAAAAAAACTTCTTTTTTTTTTTTTTTTCCAGCCTCTTGTGCAAATTACTGCTATTATTAAGTCATTGCAAAATAAGTGTCACACAACCTTTAGACCCATCGTTTGCATGTAACTCTATTCCAAGAACGGTGTGAGGTCTACTGTTTCTTTAACCAAAATGAAGAAACATCTTTCTATTTCTGAACCATTTTTGCTTTTATTTTTACTATACAGTTATAGCCTAAGGCTGGGAGAAATATTCATGCTGTTCTCTCCTGTGTATATAGTTTCTAAGGACTGCACCGCTCTTATGCATATGCAAAAGTATATGCTTTGCATATTTACTTTCTTTATATGAAATAGCATGCCCACCACATCATGTACTGCTTTCACGTCTGCGCATATCCCCCCAAATTTATCATCTTCTCATATTTAGAACGTAATTCTCATTCGAATCACAAGCAGTCAGATCTTTTTAATAACAGTTATTCCAGAGATAACAGCTAATTATGATATTTCAAAAAGTGTACATTAATATTTCAGTAGGCTCAACATTTTGAAATACTACTCAAAGCAACATTACGGTCTCTTTTACTGGTGAAACAAAAGGATACTTTCAGCAGGCAATCAGAGCACCCTTCAACATACCACTCCAGTCCCTTTCCACAGTATCTTCTGTTTGCCATAAGCCACAGTTTGGCAAAACCAGCTTTAATGGATCTTTCTTAATGTAATTAAATATATTTAACAACAGAATGCTTCAAAGTCCTTAAATTGGTCATTTGTTAGAAGACAACGAGTTCATTCAAATCCCAGCTTTTCAAACGTTTTTCTTCCATAAATCCTATTAGCATTAATCTGCCAAAGCAAGGTGTGCTTCATCATTTTTTTTTTTTTTTTTCAGATACCTGGAAAGCTCTGAGCTCTACTGCCCACTTGTTATGTTGCTGCAGACTTTTGGACGTTGCATATGGACCAGAGCATCAGCGTGGTCCTGTTGTCCTCCCTGCACAGCCTCAGCTCCGTGGTGTTGCAGAACAAATGACAAAAAGGGAGATTTTTGTGCATTGAAATCTGCAGGATGTGGCAAGAGGGGACAGAATCCAAGAAAAGAAATCCTAGAAAATGAATTGCATGCTATGAATGTAAACAAGAGCAAGAGTAAATCACCTCTCCATTATTCTTCCTGTAGTGTATTTCATTCCAAAAATAAGAGACTCATATCTATAAGTTCTTAAATAGGCAAACCTAACTCATTCAGCCTAAGCCTCTGCAGGCCGAGGCCTAGAGAGAAGCTTGAGCAAGGCCTCACCTTACAGTGAGACAGAGGCTGCGCAGCAGAATGTAGATTTCTGTTCCTGAGACCCCAATTATTTCCCAGCTCTCAAAAAGCAGGGTCAGGTTATGGTTCAGAAAGGGAGAATACAACTCCTCCAAATCGAAGTCAAATGCGTGCACGAAGGGAGTTGAAAAGAAAGGGGCTTTCTGTTCCTCCCTGAGGTGCACACTTAGTCTTTCTTGGAAGAAACAAGAGGCCACTTTTTCCTTTCAGTTTTATCTAGCAGGCATGTGAAAGGCAACCAAGGCTTCCGAAACCATCAATTAAGTGCTGAAAGACCCAGCAGAAGTTCATAAGGGGAAGAGGGAATTATTCACAGATTTCTGAATTATTTCAAACCAAAACACAGGAAAATCTCAGGATATGCATTTTTGTGACCGGTTGAAAATTGGTATGAAGTTCTCTCCGTTACAAGACAGCATTTTGTTGGTACTGCTGAATTTACTTTGGATTTGTGCATTTAATAACGAATAATGAGCTGGTAAAAGCCTAAACCAGCACTGGTAGAGCTGAAAAGTCAATTGTTTTACAACGTAAAGTGACTCCCTCTAGCAGCATTGATTTTTCCTTTTTGAACTCCCTGACTGCCTCCACAAGGACAAGCCCTTCCAGTTCCCTATCTCCCAGTGGCACACAGACCCACTGTGGGTTAGCACAAATACTCTGCCCTTGTGAGGCCTCATCTGGAATATTGTGTCCAGGTCTGGGGCCCTGAGCACAGGAGGGATGTGGAGCTATTGGAGTGGGTCCAGAGGAGGGACATGAAGATGGTCAGAAGGCTGGAGCACCTCTCCTACAAAAAAAGGTTGAGGGAGCTGGGCTTGTTCAATGTAGAGTAGGCTCCAGGGAGATTTCATTGCAGCCTTCCATTTGAAAGGAGCTTACAAACAGGAGGGAAATCAACTTTTTACACAGTTTAATAGTGATTGGGCAAGTGGGAATGGTTTTAAACTAGAAGAGGGGATATTTAGGTTAGATGTTAGAAGGAAATTCTTTACTCAGAGGGTGGTGAGGCGCTGGCACAGCTGCCCAGAGAAGCTGTGGTGCCCCATCCCTGTATGGATGGCCCTGGCTGGGTCTGTGGGGGTCACACTCATTGAGCTACAGGAGATCTGATGGTACTATGATCTTGTTGGTGATGTGAGGTGGGTACCAACCTGCCCTCTGAGGGCTGGTGGGTTCAAGCTGCTTGTTTGCATTGTTCCCTGTGCTTTGTCCATAAGGCCTGAGGCCCTGCTCTTTACCATGAGGAGGGATGTGCATTGACAGGTCTTATGGGTGTGGGATCAGCTCCAATGGGGATGCTTGTGTCCATGATCTGTGGTGCTATGGGTCCACTAAACCTGGAGACATGAGCATCCGTGCGGTCTTTTGGAGGCAGATTCCAGACCCTGCAAGCAGCCTGAGATCATCTGGGTTCAATCTAGTGATAAATGGGCTCCAGAAGTGTTTGGCTATTTGTAAAAGCCCACAGCGCTTCTTATCAAAATATTTCCCACACAAGGCCAGGTTGGATGGGGCCCTGGGCAGCCTGAGCTGTGGGGGGCAGCCCTGCCCATCGCAGGGCTTGGGGCTAGGTGAGCTGTGAGGTCCCTTTCAACCCAAGTTATTCTATTATTCTGTGACACAGGGCCCTGAGTGAAACCAGGTTCTGCACCATGACTTGACGAGGCCACAGGTTGAGTCGGTCCTTCATCCCACTGATTTCACTCCCAAAACCAGCTTTTAGCAGGTCATCTTGAAGCCCTTGTGGGAAATGCTGGCTTTGATCACTTATGACCAGCAAGGTTGTGGAAGCCTCTCCCTGCAAGCATTCAAGACCAGGCTGGATGGAGCTTTGAGCAGCTTGGTTTAGAGGGAGGTGTCCCTGCCTACAGCAGGGGGGTTGGAACTGGGTGATCTTAAAAGTCCCTTCCAACCCAAACTATTGTATGATTCTGTGCACAGGGAAGCACAGCAGCTTTCCAGAAGGGCACAATCTTGTGGCAGAAGGTCTTTCCCACACGCAGAAAGCCAACAGCTCCCTAACTTCAGCACAAAGAATGCCGAAGGGGGCTGAGATGCAGCCATGCCTCTCACCTGCCCACGGCACACAATTTAGCTCTAAAGGGCTCAGGGGGGCAGTTTCGGCGCCATATGCCTTCTCTACGCGGACAGCAGGTAGCAGCCCTGCACCAGCAGCACCACCACAAGCCGGTCCCCTCTCCCCCGTTTACTTTGAGCACTTTCCCCGGGCTTTCCCGGTCGGGAGATCTGGGAGGCACCTTTAGTCTCCGACCGGGCCGGGCCTTCCTGCGGAGAGAGGTGGGGGAAGGAAGGGCGGGGGCGGGCGGAGGAAGCGGCGGCACTCCCGGAGCGCGAGGGGGAGCCCGGGGAGCTCCTCCCGCGCGATCCCGGCAGCGGCAGCGGCAGGAAGGGCAGGGCGGGGGCGGGGGCTGCGCGGGGGGGTGGGCGGGCGGTCGATCGGGCGGAGGAGGGGCCGGGGCCGCCGCCGGCTGAGGGAGGCAGGGAGCGGAGCCGCCGAGGGCCAGGGCCTTGGACGCGTCCGGAGGAGGAAGAGGAAGGGGGGGAGCCGGCCCCTCTTGGAGCACGCAGCCCGCATCCGCTTGTGGAAGGGAAGAGGGAAGCGGAGGGGGGGGAGCGAGCGAGCGAGCGGGTACCGCCGCCGAGGAGACAAAGAAGCGGAGCCCGCCCGGGCTGGGAGCCTCCCCGCGCCGCTCCGCTCCGCCCCGCCCCGCTCCCACCGGCCGGGCCGAGGTGAGCGCGCCCCGCGGGAGGGCGGGACGGGGCCGCCGCAAACTTGTGGCGGCCGTCGGGGGCGGCCGGTGGGGGCAGGGCGACGGGGGGGAAGGGAGGAGAGAGGCGGGGGGCACCTGGGTGGGGGTTCCCCGGGGAGGAGGCAGGTGGCGGCCGGGGCTTGGGGGGGGGGGGGGGGGGGGGGAAGGGGCCCGGCGGGTGCCTGACAGCCGCCGCTTTGTGTCGGCGCGGGGAAAGCGGCACAAAGGAGAAGTTGGCTCGGGGAGGCGGAGGGGTCCCTCGCAGCCGGGGCACGGCCGGAAAGTTTTCCGGTGGGGGCGGCGTGCGGGGCGCGGCGATGCGGGCCCGGGTTGCACCGGTGGTGGCCGCGGGGAATATTCTGGTAAGCGGCCGCCGAACCCCTGCGGAAGGGTAAAACCGGGGATTTTCTCGAGCAGTGCCGCCCGAACGGCAGAAAAAAAAAGTTGGAATGACACGTTGCGTGCCCAGGAAGCGCGTCTCGGGGGGTTGGGGTGGGAATTGGCCCTTCCTCCCCTGGCCGTGCCCTGTGTAGGAAACTGCCCGAGCACGGGTAACTGCCCGTCCCCTGTGGAGTTTGCTTCCTCGGCTCCGCTAGCTCGGGGTTTTTACAGCTTTATGGCTCGCTGTGCGCATCTGAGTTATTCTGTGAATTAACTCAGCGCTGCCGTGCTCTTTTGTTAGCTCAAAACTTGAGCGAACTCTGTTCCTTTTGTGTGCGGTGAAGCGATGTGTGCTCCCCAGAAAGTGGTGTTGCGGCCGCACGTTCTGTGCGGGTTCCTCACGTGGAAAACGCCGGTGCCCTTTATAAAAACAAACCTCCATGGTCCATCCCGTGCGTGGCTTATGTCATCTGGAGCCGGGCATGGGCATGGAGGCATCCAAAAGGTCAGAGCTCGTGCAGGGCTCCTTTCTGAAAGCATTTCTGCCCCTGCTTATCAGCGTCAGTACCACAGAGATGTTTGTGGTACCGTGTGTGTTGTTAGGACTAGAAGCGGAGTGAAATCACTCTGTAACTCATAGATACTGGTATTTTTCAGATCTGGAATTGAAGTTGGGTGTCCCACCCTGGTCGACCTCAGCAGCTGTGTCCTCATATCTGACTTTCTCCTTGAAACTTAGCTAGACCTTGTTGCTTTTGGGAGCAGTGCATAAATGCAGACATGGGAGGCACCTGCTAAGACTACAGTTGTAATTAGCAAATATCTGTATGTAGGCCATGAAGCAGATCTGGGCTCGTTATACCGTCAGCTCTCCTTGCAATTGTTCTGTCAGTGCATAGTTAGCTGCTGTATGAGCCTTTTACCTCTGCAAGATAGTATTTCCAACTGCTGTTACAATACAGAGGTGTACAAAATCTCTTTTGCTGTGTTTCTCCAGAAACAGAAGCAGAGTTAGTCCATGGTTATCTGGACGGTCCTTTATGTTTCGTCCTTACTGTTAAATATATAGTAAATTCAAAACTCCAGCCTTTGCCTTGCTACTTGTTAAAAAGGGAGCTCGTTCCTTTTTTCTTCTTCCTCTGCTTTCTCCCTAGTTTCTTGCCTAGCTGTGTGGTAGCATTAAGGAAAGGTGTTTGCGCTCTTATGTGTCACCTCGCATCTACTGTGTGCTAAAGAAGAGGGGACGAGGTCAGCAACATCTGCTTTGTTTCCAGGCATTGCTTTTTTTTTTTTTTTTTGGTGTGTGTGTGTGTGTGTGTGGCTGCTGACATGTTATTCCCTTGCTCACAGTGCCCCTGGCTTTCCTCAGCAGTAACTATAACATTAGCAGCTGGGAAAGAGATGTTCGGATAGTGCAGTTTGCTGGTTGTTGCCTTGAGCAGCAGCAGAAAGCTCGTGCAGGTATCTCCTTTTTTGTACTACATGAGCATAAAAGCTGCTCCAGACTCACAGAAGCAAGTGCTCTTCACTTTATACTTGGGACAGGTTCACAGTCAAACCCAAGAGGTCCTTGAATCTGAAGGCTACGTGTGTTCTGGAAGATGCTTTCTGTTTGTGCCAGGGATCTGGGGGTGTCTCAATGGCTGTTCCCTTTCTGCTTCCCCGTGCTCTCAGAAATGGAGATGGTGGAAGGAAAGTGTGGATGAAAGTGAGGTGCTGCTGGGTTGGCATGGTAAGATGT